AGATCGCCGTTCCAGCGATACGATCGGGCGGTCCCGTTCACGATGACGTTGCCCAGGTCCGAGATGTCGCACTGCCACCAGCCATCAAAACTGGACACCTCGTTCATTTTCCGTTTCGTGGAGAAAGTGTCCCCCAACATCTTCCGTGGAGTGTCCGGATATCGATTCGAGGAGGGCTAGATCTGGCAATGCCAATTGTGCACAACTACTCGCTCAGATGAGGGGACAGTCGATGCACAGGCGATGTAAATCAAGAATACCTCTCAACCCATGCGGTTTACCCGTATTCTCGTACATGGAAATTGAGTTTTTGGGTCCATACGGCGCACAGCTGTGCCAATACGGGCAAAAAAAGTGTCTATTGAATTGTGTTTCTCCCTTGTGATGGGACTTTGTAGGATGAACGTTGAGATGTATGAGGGGCACGGGGTGACCAATAAGGTTTGAATTGGTCTATAATAACTGATAAGTGCTTCAATCTTGATCTGAACGTTTCGTGACTGCAGGAATCCATACTCTTCAGGTTCTTTCGGTAAAGTCCACGTAGGTATAAAATAAAACAAATCACGACGCTTGCGCTGCGCCCGAAACGTCATTTATTTTATTTTATACCTACGTGACTTTACCGAAAGAACCGAAGAGTATAAGTTTTTTTTTTAAGTTAGATGATTAAGAGTATTTAGCCACTGCTAGATATTTCTATTTGAAGAATCCACTCGGCTCCGACCATTCATGATGGCCACCTCGCTTCTGAAAAATTTGCTGCGTATCTCAAGTGGGGCCTTGCCTGGTAATAAATATTATATATAACTCTTAAGATTTTTTTTGTGTTGGGTGAGATCACGTAAATGTGTCCAATTGTAAATGTCGTAGTGGGTTTGCTCTCCAACACAACCGGTTAGTGCTGAACTAGTATACTACACTATACACTATTGCTGTAACTCGCAACTAATTGGCACGTTCTGTTTACGTGACAAACCCTTTAATAATTGGCTGTCGGTTTAAATACATGCATTTATATTTACGCGATTTAACCCAAAGAAAACCCCTGTTATGGATAACATTGGTCGAGAAAGCCCTACTACTGTGTATCAAATAGATGTAACTCTTAGGCCACTGATGTATCTACGTAAGGAAATGTATAGCAGCAGCTAAACATTCTGATTGGTGCCGAGGCACTCCCCTGCTGTCTCCTCCCTACAACCCACATTGAGTGATAGGACATTTAGGCGTGTGTGTGTGTGTGTATAGAGTTGTTGTAAACCCCTAGAATCATAGTTCATGATTGTCTCAATGCTGGAATTCCGATAGCCGTGTTAATTGTACGCCCTGTGTTTGTTTTATTAATGATTTTATTAATAAAGATTACTTCATTAGTTGTTCAACTGCGGTTCACTCACGTGGGATGCTCCAGTTAGCGGTTGGCTGCATACTGTGCGAAAGAAGTCTTACGTATGTACAAACATAATAATGCAGAGGGTTTTTTGGGTAAAATTGTGCGAATATAAATGTGTCGTTAAACCCGCCATCATCTAACACAGCCACTCATTAAGGGGCTTGTCACATACAAAACGTGCCAATTAGTTACTAGTTCAGCACACCGATGTGTTGGAGAGTAAACTTACAACAATTCGAGTACGACACATTTATATTTATGCAGCCTAACCCCGAAAAAAGCCTCCCATGGATATTGGTCGTGAAAGCCTTCGTCTTAAACTACATAATGGTGGTGATGGTGGTGATGTTGAGGAGATGCCTGCATGATGAGGAAGTGGGGGATGTAGACGGTGGTGATTTGTGATGGTTGTGATGGTGTTGGTGATGTGGCCGTCTGGAATGCTCTTCCTTCCAATATTAGGAAGCCACTGGGAGCTATCGTACACTTTTAAATAATCATCATCTAGATTGACAATCCATTTCTTTGTATAACTACTTCTTGTTGCGTTTAGTTTGTGGTCCTTCCCACGCACCTCCCGATTTGCCCAGTTGGCTACGTATGGTGTAAAAGAAGTTTTAAAAAAAGATACGTACATTGGTGGGTTAGTGCTGAGTGGGTGAGTGGCTAACCATCAGGACAAAGACAGTCACTGAATCATCACGTGACGCTTTCTGATGCGCTGCTTCTACGGCCGTCTGGAACGCTCTTCCTTCCGGTATTAGGAAGCCACTGGAGCTCTGCTGCAACTTTTACATCATCATCTAGGTTGAAAACTAATTTCTTTATGATTAGTAAGGTTGGCTACATATGGTGTATAAGATGTACCAAATACGTATGTACCATACTAAATGAGTGTCTGGTGCAGTGATGTGAATAAGCATCGCCACTGGGGGAGACAAAGGTCGCCGTGCGTGGTGCTGGCCACCTACCCCCTCGTGTGCCAGTCTGACCTTCATTAGGCGTTGCTACTCACTAACAGCACGTGCCCCTACTGTATAAGGCTACACGGGGAATCTTCGTCTATGGCGTATCTACACTGCCCTCTGCTGCCTACGATCGGGATGAACAGGTTTGAAATTAAATACAACAAACACTGAACTATTGTTTTTATTTTAGCAAGGCTAAAATACAACTTAAACACTGAACTAAACAGCTTCTTTATCAGAAGCGACCTGGCCATCACAAATGATAGCTCAACCAAGTGGCTTATCGCGTGGTAATGTATAGCAGTAGCCAAAAAGCATAGAATCAGAGACCCAAAGATCCTGAGACTCACGTAGCACCATTGAGACCCACAGCGACCCATAATAATCTAAACGTGTGATGTTGATTCTAAATGTGGAGGCGAGAGAGATAACATCTGGCAGGGTTACATTCGAAACGACCTCCTGCATACTAGGCGAGGTAGTTAACATCTCGCAGGGTCTCGGATCCAACCCACTACCTCCTTCATACCAGGCGAGGTAGTTAACATCTCACAGGATCCGTGGTCTAACCCACGACCTCCTGTACACCTGGCGAGGTAGTTAACATCTCACAGAATCTGGGATCAAACCCACGACCTCCTGCATACCAGGCGAGGTAGTTAACATCTCACAGGATCCGGGATCTAACCCATGACCTTCATATCAGGCGAGGTAGTTAACATCTCACAGGATCCGGGATCTAACCCACGACCTCCTGCATACCTGGCGAGGTAGTTAACATCTCACAGAATCCAGGATCTAACCCATGACCTCCATATCAGGTGAGGCAGTTAACATCTCACAGAATCCGGGATCTAACCCACGACCTCCTCCATACCAGGCGAGGTAGTTAACATCTCACAGAATCCGGGATCTAACCCATGACCTCCATATCAGGCGAGGTAGTTAACATCTCACAGAATCCGGGATCTAACCCACGACCTCCTCCATACCAGGCGAGGTAGTTAACATCTCACAGAATCCGAGATCTAACCCACAACCTCCACAGAATCCGAGATCTAACGCACGACCTCCTGCATACCGGGCGAGGTAGTTAACATCTCACAGGATCCGGGATCTAACCCACGACCTCCTGCATACCAGGCGAGGTAGTTAACATCTCACAGAATCCGGGATCTAACCCACGACCTCTTCCATACCAGGCGAGGTAGTTTACATCTCACAGGATCCGGGATCTAACCCACGAACTCCTGCATACCAGGCGAGGTAGTTAACATCTCACAGAATCTGGGATCTAACCCATGACCTCCATATCAGGCGAGGTAGTTAACATCTCACAGAATCCAGGATCTAATCCACGACCTCCATACCAGGCGAGGTAGTTAACATCTCACAGAATCCAAGATCTAACCCACAACCTCCACAGAATCCGAGATCTAACCCACAACCTCCTGCATACCAGGCGAGGTAGTTAACATCTCACAGGATCCGGGATCTAACCCACGACCTTCTTCATACCAGGCGAGGTAGTTAACATCTCACAGAATCCGGGATCTAACCCACGACCTCCTGTATACCTAGGCGAGGTAGTTAACATCTCACAGAATCCGGGATCTAACCCACGACCTCCTGCATACCAGGCGAGGTAGTTAACATCTCACAGAATCCGGGATCTAACCCACGACCTCCTGTATACCTAGGCGAGGTAGTTAACATCTCACAGAATCCGGGATCTAACCCACGACCTCCTGCATACCAGGCGAGGTAGTTAACATCACCTATCCACCACACATTCACGTTCATCACCATGCTAGTTGCGTTTATTATATATTGCTTTAAAAACGAGTGTGATGAGCTATTGTAAAGTATTTACACGGAATAATGTGTAAACTTTCTTTAGCACGATAACAATAATGTACAACGTTGCATTAACTAAGCGATTAGACGCGATATCTATACATTATGTTGAACTATATTCTTGGTTCTTTCGGTAAAGTCACCACCACGTAGAAGGGAAATAATAAAATAAATCTATAAAATTCTCACGACGTTTCGGCCCCAACGCAAGCAGCCTTCCTCAGGTGAAGAAACAGAACTGTCAGAGAGACAGCGTCTAGCAACTTAGCGTCTTAATTAAGACTTAATTAAGACGTCTTAATTAAGACTTAATTAAGACGCTGTCTTTGTGACAGCTCTATGTTTCTTCACCTGAGGACGGCTGCTTGCTTTGTGGCCGAAACGTCGTGAGAATTTAATTTTATTGTTTTACAATAATTTTATTCTTTTATTGTTTCCCTTCTAACGTGGTGGTGACTTTACCGAAAGAACCAAGAATAATAATTTTATTGTTTTATATTTTTTATTATTTTATTGTTTCCCTTCTAACGTGGTGGTGACTTTACCGAAAGAACCAAGAATAATAATTTTATTGCTTTATATTTTTATTATTTTATTGTTTCCCTTCTAACGTGGTGGTGACTTTACCGAAAGAACCAAGAAGATGAATCCCTGCAGTCACGAAAGCTTTAAATCGAAATTCACGTTGAACTATTTAAATATAGACGTAATAATGCGTAACTATTTAAATAAGACGCGATATATTTAGACATTGTAATTTAAAATCAAGAAAATTTTACCTCATGAAATCTTGGGCCACTTTTAAAGTTTTTCAAAACCTGTAAAATAAAAACAAACGCGAGACATCGGCGACGCTCACAAAAAAAACAAAGAGTTATTGAAGCTAAAAAAGCTAAATAATTTCATATAAAACGCCAACACTTTAACATTATCACACAGATTGTTATCACACACAAGATTGTTATCACGCAAGATTGTTATAGTCGTCAATGTCACCTCACAAACTTCACGTCCCTCACCTAAAATCCCTTTGCCCTGCAATCAGACAAAGCCGCTTTCTATAACCAAACACGCCAACTCGTTCGCTTCAACCTCCGACGTTAACTCTTCACGAATGTAATAATTATAAATTTTATCATCGCATTAACTCGCTTAAAGCTACCCGTTTAAACGCCTCGCGGCGGAATCGATTCCTCTCCTAAATGTCTGCACCAATCGATTCCACGCGCAACCCCCCCCCCATTGAAGCCGTGGAATCGAATAATGAATCGGTTCCACGTGCCAGCCCTTTTGAAGCAATGGAATCGAATAACCGATCGATTGCGAGCTCAGCCCCATTGATGCAATGGAATCGAGTGGCGTTGATTTTGTCGACGGGGAATCGATTCCTGAGCGGAGATTTTTGTTAAAATATTTTTTTCCCGCCAAAACTTCAACAGGTGGCGCGTCACTTTGCCCCGCTTTAAACCCCTAAAAGTTTCAATTTTCTGATCGTTTTGTGCATTTACAGTTACAAGTTACCTCAAAATCCGTCATTAAATGAGCTTAAGATGCACATTAATGTGATGCGCGTTTTGGTTGTGAATATTTTTTTAAAATTTTTTAATCTTATTTCACGTATGCTGTTATTGCCTGGTGGTTTCGTGCACTTGCGATAACTTACCTACATTATTATTTTTTATTAATTGAATGTTAAGTTGGGGGTTGTGTATATTACGTGCGAGTTTTCTCTTTAAATATATTCACGCGCGTTAAATGACTGTAGTCAATTTCCCCGATAGGTTTGTGCATTCGTAATTATAATCTTGATTTGAAGCTTCAGTGCCTGCAGGAATCCGCACTAGGTAAAGTCCACGTAGTAGGTATGAAATAAAATAAATTTAAAAAACGATGTTTCGGGCGCAACACAAGCGTGCTTCATCAGGTGGGAAAGCGTTGGGCTGCTGCTGAGGCAGAATGTTTTTTTTTAAAGGTTTGAAATGTGGGCAATGCCACTGTCATCATTGATAAAATCCACTTACAACAACACCACTATTCAACCGCCACTCGAGTTCATTGCAATAAAAAATATTATTTAGGTAAGTTATCGCAAGTGCACGAAACCACCAGGCAATAACAGCATACGTGAAATAAGATAAAAAAAAATTTAACAAAAAAAATATTCACAAACAAAACGCGCATCACAATAATGTGCATCTTAAGCTCATTTAATGACGAATTTTGAGGTAACTTGTAACTGTAAATGCACAAAACGATCAGAAAACTGAAACTTTTAGGGGTTTAAAGAGGGGCAAAGTGACGCGCCACCTGTTGAAGTTTTGGCGGGAAAAAAATATTTTAACAAAAATCTCCGCTCAGGAATCGATTCCCCGTCGTCAAACTCAACGCCACTCGATTCCATTGCATCAATGGGGCTGAGCTCGCAATCGATTGGTTATCCGATTCCATTGCTTCAAAGGGGCTGGCACGTGGAACCGATTCATTATTCGATTCCACGGCTTCAATGGGGGGGGGGGGTGCGCGTGGAATCGATTGAGTCAGATATTTAGGAGAGGAATCGATTCCGCCGCGAGGCGATTAAACGGGTAGCTTTAAGCGAGTTAATCCGATGATAAAATTTGTAATTATTACATTCGTGAAGAGTTAACGTCGGAGGTTGAAGCGAACAAGTTGGCGTGTTTGGTTATAGAAAGCGGCTTTGTCTGATTGCAGGGCAAAGGGAAGCTCCTGAATTATGTTGTTGTAAGTGTTTTTTTTAAAATCTATGATGACATTGGCATTGTCAACATTTAAAAAACTTTTTTTTATCAAAAAAAACATTGTGCCTGATGAAGGACGCTTGTGTTGCGCCCGAAACGTCGTTATTTATTTTATTGTCGTTATAACTTACCTCATGATTTGTGATTAAATGGCTTAACATGCACATCGTTAAGAGCGATTTGCTGTGTGCGAATTTTTTTTGTAAAACATAAAGGCAATTAATTATACACTGCAATTATCGCATCGATTTATAATTGTAACTTGCATCGTAATTTGTAATTGTTGTTTTAAAAAATTTTCCCGCCAAAACTTCAACAGGTGGCGCGTCACTTTGCCCCTCTTTAAACCCCTAAAAGTTTCAGTTTTCTGATCGTTTTGTGCATTTACAGTTACAAGTTACCTCAAAATTCGTCATTAAATAAGCTTAAGATACACATTATTGTGATGCGCGTTTTGTTCGTGAGATTTATTTTTTTCAGGTTATAAAATTACGTAAGTCATTCTGCCTGCTCGTTTCTGTGCACTTATAATTACAACTTATCTAAATTGTTAAACAAATGTTAAGTTGTGCATTGCGAGGGGCGAATTTGTATATTACGTGCGATTTAAAATAATACATTAACATCTTGCATACACACACACAATGGTATACTGCGACAATGTTGTACTGTACTACTTTGGCTACCTTAACTATCACGATGTTAATTGAGCGTGCTGCTTAATGTTTATCAATATATAAACGCTTTGTGAAATCTTACGTTTTAAAAATAAAATAAAACACGCAACAAGAAAACTTTTTAAGGTGTGCACATTGCGATGCGCTTTTTGTTTACGGTTTGTTTAAATGTAATCGTATACTGTACAGCATTTAACATTATTTTCTGTCGTCGTGCATTCATAATTACAACTTACCTCGTAGTTTGCGATTAAAACGTTATTAAGTGGTACATTGCGCGTAGCGTTGTGTTCATTACGTGCGATTAAAAGACAATATTGCTGTACTGTACGTAAAATAATCTTTATTTTTCCCGCCAAAACTGCAACAGGCGCCGCGTGCCTCAACCCCCCTCGATAAACTATAAAGTTGTCATCATCTCATGGTTTTGTGAATTTGTAATCGCGACTTACCTCATAAATTTGGGTAACCAATTTAACGGCAAACTACGAGGTAAGTTGTAGTTATAAATTCTGCGATCATTGCAGTGTATAATTGTTATATACTGTATAAGAAAATATATCTTTTTTTAATGGCAGATATCAACAAAACGGGCATCGCAATGTGCATCGTAACCCATTTCATTACAAATTATAAAGCAACTTGTAATTTAGAGTATAAATAATTACAACTTTAAGGTTTATAAGGGGGGGGGGCGGGCGAGTCACGTGGTACCTGTCGTAGTTTTGGCGGGAAAAACAAACTCCCGCACCCCACGCTCAGGAATCGAGTCGATTACTTTTTTGGGTGAGAATCGATTCCATCGCTTGAATCCATTGGCTGATTCGATGTCGTTGCTTCAATGGGGCTTGCGTGTGGAATCGATTTGTCGGGAATTTGAGAAAACGAATCGATTCCCGCAGCGAGGTTTGTTCTGGTTGCTTAAGCGAGTTAACGATTATAAAAGTGAAAATTATTCCATTCGTGACGCGTTAAATTCGGCGATTAAAGTGAACAAGTTGTCGTGTTTGGTTATAGAAAGCGGCTTTGTCTGATTACAGAGCAAAGGGATTTAAGTTTGTGATGTAACATTGACGACTATAACGGTTACATTTCGATTGAAAGCTTTCGTGACTGCAAGGATACATCTTCTTTGGTTCTTTAGGTAAAGTCACCGCACCACGTAGAATGAGAATAAAATAATAAATTGATGAAATAAAATAATAATACAATAATATTCTCACGACGTTTCGGCCACAACACAAGCGGCCTTCATCAGGTGAAGGGACGAGACTCCAGCGCTGTCCTCCAGACAGTCTCGTCCCCCTTCACCTGATGAAGGCCGCTTGTGTTGTGGCCGAAACGTCGTGAGAATTTTATTGTTATTTTATCGATTTGTTATTTTATTCTCATTCTACGTGGGTGGTGATTTTACCGAAAGAACCAAAGAAGACTTTAACTGCGTGAGGGTTAAACGCGCACACACCCACACACAACGTGATGTTAAAGTGTTGGCGTTTTATAAACTTGCGTTTTTAGCTTCAATTATTTCGTTTTGTGAGCGTCGTCGATGTCTTGCGTTGGTTTTTAATTTACAGGCTTTGAAAAACTTAAGTGGCGAAGATTTCGTGAGGTAAAATTATATCGATTTAAAATTACAATGTCTAAATATCGCGTTTAATTTAAATAGTTAAACATAACGTCCAGATATATCTTCTAATTTAAATAGTTATACATTATAATGTCTACATAGCGTCTAATTTAAACAGTTAAACATAATGTCCAGATATTGCGTCTAATCGCTTAGTTAATACATTATTTTTCTCGCGCTTAAGGAAAGTTTATACCTCACTTGATGTAAATACTTTACGATAGCTTATCACACGTATTTAAAACAATATATAATATACTTAACTAGCAGCTTGGCGTTTTAAAGTCACGATTTCAATGTCACAGCACCGTATGGTGAGCAATCAGTGCACTGCATCTAGCGGTGGATTGACCATGGCTGATGGTGATGGTGATGAACGTGATTGTGTGGATAGGTGATGTTAACTACCTTGCCTGATGTACAGGAGGTCGTGGGTTAGATCCCGGATTCTGTGAGATGTTAACTACCTCGCCTGGTATGCAGGAGGTCGTGGGTTAAATCCAGGATTCTGTGAGATGTTAACTACCTCGCCTGGTATACAGGAGGTCATGGGTTAGATCCCGGATTCTGTGAGATGTTAACTACCTCGCCTGGTCAGGAGGTCGTGGGTTAGATCCCGGATTCTGTGAGATGTTAACTACCTCGCCTGGTATGCAGGAGGTCATGGGTTAGATCCCGGATCATGTGAGATGTTAACTACCTCGCCTGGTATGCAGGAGGTCGCGATTTAGATTTTAATCATGCGAGATGTTATCTCTCTCGCCTCCACATTTATAATTAACATCACACGTTTAGATTATTTGGGTCTATGTGGGTCTCATCGGTGCTACATGAGTCTTAGGATCTCTGTGGGCCTCTATGGGTCTCTAAGTCTACGCGTTTTGGCTACTGATATACATTTACATGCGATAAGTCACTCGGTTGAGCTATCATTTGTGATGGCCAGGTCCCTTCTGATTAAGAAGCTGTTTAGTTCAGTGTTTAAGTTGTAGTTTAGCTTTGCTAAAATAAAAAAAATAGTTCAGTGTTTGTTGTATTTGATTTCAAACCTGTTCATCCCGATCGTAGGCAGCAGAGGGCAGTGTAGATACGCCATAGACGAAGATTCCCCGTGTAGCCTTATACAGTAGGGACTGGTGCTGTTAGTGAGTAGCAACGCCCAATGAGGGTCGGACTGGCACAGGAGGGGGTGGGTGGCCAGCACCACGCACGGCGACCTTTGTCTCCCCCAGTGGCGATGCTTATTCACACCACTGCACCAGACACTCATTTAGTATGGTACGTACGTACGAACGAATTCTTCTGCCGTAGCTGATCACTGTTACAACGCTGTGGGTGATCACGATATAATTTTCTCCGATACCAAGGTTCTTTGCAAA